GAACACCTCCCACTCACCCACTCAGCACAACAACCTCAGCTGAGCTCTCCACTTAAAAGCTTTTTTTCTTCAGGAGCCCGAGGCAGGAGCTGTAATTGCCAGGTCATAAGTCCCTTCTTTAAAACAAAACTTATTTATTCCTCCTCCCACATAGCACAACTGTTAATGGTGCAGGAGTTAAGAGCAATTGTCATTTTTCCCTTTATAATTAAATTCATTTTCCCTTATAAAAAGTAGAACTTGATAAGTACAAGTTTCTCTCAAGCAGCATTCCCTTTTGAACACAAGAATCTTACTCTGTCCAAATATATTTGCATAGCAAAAAATATTCCTGTTGCCTACTGAATTACCTTAAAATATTTAGTATTTTTCTGCCATGTTGTGGGAAAAAAAAAACCTTCGTCTAGATGACGTGGCTTAGACTGTTCCCATTTCTCAAAAGAAGTTTGCAATAAATATTCATCTTAACCTGAGGCATTGTTGTTAATATTCAAACTCAGGCTTTTCAGCTTTATATTTTAAATAAGTGGTCTGGAAATGTATGAATGGACCCTCATTCTCAACAAATTCATGGAGATGTATTTTTACATGTAGAATTATTGATAGGATAGTTATTAACTTGTGTGTCCAAACCATATGGTTCCTTCAGCTATTACAGTCAAAATTTATTGTGTTGGAACATGCCTAAAACTCTTCTCCTCTCTTAAGTGAAATAATCAGTGTAGTACCAAAACCAGATTTTCTGAAAGGTATTTGTAAGATGTCCTCCCATGTGAGCACTGAGCAGTGCCATTATAAGAATTATATCAGCATTTCCTGTTATGTAATCACTAGTGGGGAAATTATGCTTTATATTCTGTTGAGTGATCACGAAGCAGGGGGAGAACTGAGCCTGAGTTCCCCCTATAAATAACAAAATCAATAACCAATGTTTATCTGTGCTAAGGTTTGTCTGCTTTACCACACTGAAAATTGGAGGCTGCACAAAGAATGAGCACTGGATAAATAATAAGCTCTGGCCTTTAGTGGGGCATTTTAGGAGGTCGGGTGGTCAATGCAGTAGAAGCATTGGTTGGCTCTGGGAATCCATCCAGCTTCAGACTGTGGTCAAATATAAAGATGACTGAAATCCCAGTATTTCCTGAATTTAAACTTTTAGGAAATCAGACCCCATAATATATAATTGAATATGCCATTCCTTGGGGAAACCAAACAGCCTCATTGCCTACAACATTCAGCTCTTCATCTTCATGTGGTTCTTGCAGTTTTTTAAGTAATTCAATGTGAAATAGAGAAAGTTTGCAGCATTTAGTTGAATGAAGTAGTTTTTAGAGCAGGAAAGAGAAGCCCTGGTGCTTATAAAGGGGCAAGACTTTCTTAATGTCCACTTTCTCAGCAGAACTTGCTGCACAGTCACTCATGGTCAAGAATCTGTGCCAAACCACTTGCAGCCGTGCATTGCATAGAAACAGAGGGGAAGAGAAAAAAAAACAGAATTAGTAGGCATGCATATGAGTGAGCCTTACCATAAATAAATCAAATTTATAAGTACATCATTTTAGTATGCTTATTGTTTTGCTAAACTAACACACAAATGACTGTTGTCTTCTCATGAAGAAAATCATGAAGCAAGACTTCAAAGCAGCCACTGGAAATTCTGCTCTTGACTAAGAGATTTCAAGGGACCCTGAGGCTGGGTGGGAAGTTGTGCACAGCTAAATCCCTCACAGTGCTTTACTCATTGCTTGTCTGCCATCCAATCCAACAACCTCTCAGCCCCTGACAAAGCACCAGCAGTGTCCTGTTCCTAACCCTGTCCATACCTGCCTGCCCCAATGGCACAGCCCAAAAAGGGCAGGGCTGTTCCACACCTGCCTTTTGGGAGCATCCCTGAACAGATGAGGAGATGTCAGGTTTTGAACGCAGCAGCCATAGAATTGTCCCATGTATTTTCCTTTAAATCACTGTAGTTACAGATGTGCCCTTGGTTTTCCCCATAAGGACAACAATCCCTGGCATGGCACCATAGCAGGGACAGGGATTGGTCTCAGTTAAAGGGGATTTTTGCCAAATTTTTGTAGGACTCTTGATTTTTCTCCTAAAACAAACCAAACAAGGGTCCCGCTCAGGGAGGGAAGACAAGGATATGTATCTGAGAAAAAGCCAGAGCAGTGCACACATTTACCTGTTCACAGCTGCCAGGGAAGGACAGAATTGTCTGAGGACAGGAGGGACACTTGCAGTGTCTCAAAATCACAGAATTATATTAATGTATAAACTGGATAAGACCCCAGAGATTATTGAGTCTGACTGTTGACCATGTTCCCAACTGCCACATCCACAAGTTTTTGGAACCTTTCCAAAAGATGGGAGCAAGCAGTGGCCTCCCACCACCCAGTCTAAGGATCTCCTGGGCTGATTATCCCAAGAATAAATGGAATGCTTGAGCAGCATTGCTAAAAGCACTCCTGAGTGGGCCATGATAACTGGGTTTCTAAGTGCCAGCTCTAATTTAAGAATATCCTAATAAACAAGCATGGCACAAAGAGGCTTGTTTTTTTTTTTAATTGTTAACTTCATTGCAGAGCTGATTAATTGCAGAATTTGGTCTGTAGACATTATTTAGGAAAAGGAGACAAGATCAATATATACAGTATGTATTACACAAATAAAATTGTTTGAAACAGGGTATTTTGCAAGCTACTGAAGGCTGATTAAAAACAGTTTGCCTAATTTACTTTGGCTGCCTTGCAAGGAGATTTTAATTTCATAATCACAAATACTTCAGCCAGTGTACTTCTCCCCCCACCGAATTACAGCGGATGAACACACAGAGGAACAGAATTAAAGTTTGGAAAAATTTAAATGCAGCATGTCTTACGTTTCCAGTGTTTCTCTTGGCATCCTAAATATTGTTTTAACTTTGTTTTAACTTGTGGTGTGATTATACATTGGCTCACATAGGGGAACTGCAGAAGTCTTCCTGCTGAGCATCATTAAGCACTTTGGTGCTCGGTGGGAGTTTGTTCATTAGGAAAAGTGTGTTATGAATTTTACTCTGTGAGCATCTTTGTCTGTGAGAGGGAGGGAGAATGAGGTAATGAGAAGAAAATACAAGATCAATCATTTAAACATACAAAACAGCTAAATATAAATACTTCTTGTTAAAGGAATTACAGTATTGCCCAATACTTTAGCATCAATATGAGGGCTATGAAAGAAGTCGCCTGAAACCTGTTGCTGCTTCTGCTTTTGGAAATTTGCATTATTTCCTCAGATTTAATCTACTTGGCAGAGATCCACCAGTCTGCCATATTTTCCCTTTTCTTGGCTTATCATTTCCTCTATGCACTATGGTATTTTTTTTTAATCTTGGGACATATAAAGGTATAATTGTATTATGTAATTTATTCTAATACTTACCCATATTTATAAATAAACTCTACTTTTAAGAAAGGGAAGTTTTAATTGGTAAAGACTTAAAATGGCATGATTTTTTATCCATTTTATAAACTTTAACATTTTCACAGCTGAGAATAACCTATTACTTAAATCATTTCACACATTAATTTCTTGGTATAAAAGACTCTGTGGTCAGAGAGTGGAATGTTGAAATTGGTGAAAAAGGATGTATTTTGTAGGATATGCAAAATGCATTTAATTTTTCATTTCAGTATTTAAACAGTCGCCTAATTTTATACTCACAAGGGCTTCATTCTAAGGTTTTGTAATTCTGTTGGCTTCTATGATGTGTAAGTTTATTTACATCAACATGGATGTGGATAAAAATCAAACCCACCATTTTGCAAACGTTTTCACAATGCCAATGCAGTGTTAAACCCACCTGGCATAAGCGACATCCATAAGATTTTCCAACATACTTATTTTAGCTTAATATGTTATTTACATATAAGATGGCATTTTTACCTATGACATAACCCCCATAATCATTAAAAATAAAAAAACAAGTATTAAAGAAGGAGAGAAATGTGAACAATGGATAATATCTGTTCCTTTAAATTATGTCTCCAAATATTTTTCCTCTATGAAAGTAGCAAGAGCTTAAGCAACTCCTGCTGTCTTGTTGTTCGACATCCACTACTGCCCATCTGCCTATTGATTGGTAGGAAACTCCAAATGGGAATTTCATCTCATTAATCATGTCACATCACAGGGATTAGGACAAAAAAAAAATCCTTTATGCTTCACAGCAGCCATCTAATGCCCAGTAAGACAAGTGAACGAATATGATATGGATAGAATATCTTCCCACTAATTAAAGGTCATCTGCTAAAAACTGAGTCAGGCTGGCTCAAACGTGCTCTGATCTAAGCCTGCACATCCTTTCCAAAACGGAAGCAGCAGTAAATATGTATTTCTAATTCAAATGTTAGCAGAGCTAGAGAATAAAACTCATCCATTACAGAGCACTGCAGTGACAATACTGGCAGCAGTGGTTCTCCCTGAGCAGCTCCCTGCAAAACCCAGTCCCATTGATTGTCTCCTATTCTCCCTCACACACCATCAATATCCATCCACGGGGCACTTCCCCCACCACGCTCCGTAATCCTCTCACAACAACACCAAAACCGCTCCTGTTCTACTCATAACCCCCACAATCTACGTTACAAAATACTCGGATTTTTCTAAGCCTGTTTGGTACTGTAACGAGCAGGAAAAAGCAATTAAAATTGCTGAGATGTGCCTGAGCAGGTGAGGTGAGGTTTCCTTACAGTGAGGACACCACGGCAGATGAGAGGGACACACACAGCCTTGGAAGAAAGCCAACTGATTAATGGAATTTGACCATGCACAACTTGTTGAAATCCCTCTAGAACATCAAACGCCACATTATAATATCCTTACTGAGGTCCCTGCCAATCCCAGGAAATCGATAATTCCTTTTTAGGAGTAAGATTATTTTTTTCAGAACTATTTCCCAAAGCAAGATAAGTGGGATGCATTTTGGGTTGAATTTATGTTTGGCTTTGTCTCCACAGCGAAAGCTCATCCGCTAAACATGGGGAGGAGGGAAAACCCGGAGGAGATTTCTGCCGGAGTCCGGAACGGAGTCGGCAAAAGGGAAAACCCAGACAGGAATCTAGCCAGAGTTTGGAATGGAGTCGGCAAAAAGGAAAACCCGAACAGGAATTCAGCCAGAGTCTGGATTTATCCCGGCGTCTGGAAGGGACTCGGCAAAAGGGAAAACTAGGACCGGATTGATCCAGGAGTCCGGAATGCACTCGGCAAAAGGCAAAACCCAGACTGGAAGCTCGTCGGAGTCCGGAATGGATCCGGCAAAAGGGAAAACCCAGACTAAATTTCTCCCGGAATTCGGAATGGACTCAGCAAAAGGGAAGATCCTCTTGAGCTTGCAGTTGTTTTGCTCCACTTTTAATTTTTTTCTAACGTTCTAAGGTATTATTCAATCTCTCAGAGCATTTTCCAGAAGCAAGATATTGTTCAGCATTGCTTAACACCATTAGTTTTACAAAGAACATGACTTCAGCAGAAAGATTTGAATTTTTCTATTGACGTCTTTACTTAGAGGAGGTTCATGGTGAAGCCGAATGTAATGAGAAATAAAAACATCTGTATTTTTGATACAGCCAAATCTCTAGATAAGGAGGCATGGGATGAAGACAAATACCTGTCACATGGCTGTACTCCTCTGCTGAGTAGATTTAAATATGTTTTACTCTTTTTTTGTCATTCTTTTTTCACCCCAGACTTGCCTCTTGTCCCAGTCTATAAACCATTTTCTAACTGTCCTCTTGCTTCCCATCCAGATGAGTATTTCCAAACCCTCACCTAACACCAGACCTCTTTTATTTTTATCAGTCCTCACACCATCCTATTTCTCTAACTACAACTCAGTTTATCCCTTCAATTTCTGCTTCCCCTTTCCATTCACAGCTTATCTTCTTTCTGTATTTAATCCTGGTTCTCTTCCCATTCAGACCCACATTTCCCAGATTATCCCATCGAGGGTTTGCTGACCCTCCCTGTAGCAAAACAGAAAACAGAATTCTGTTTTCACCCTTTTGCATTTGCAGCAGCTCATTTTCCCTCTCCATTCAGAAACCCCTTCTACTAGGAACAGGGTCACTGATCCCAAAGGAGATCCAAGTTTTTCCCCTAAACCTGCACACACCCTCTCCTGAAGCATCTAAGAGCAAGATTACACCAGGGATTGTTCATAATTCAGTTTTTCAAGGATTTTCTGAGTGTGAGTAAGGATGTGCAGGAAAAAGAATAATAATTAAACATCCTGTAATTTACTTTTTAAAGCTCTTTAGGGCTACAGGTGTAGAGCTTCACGTTACATGTCCCAGAACAAGCTGAGATGTCAGTCCAGCACTCGGAGCATTACTTGGGCTGTTTGCAGGAGCTGCTGAGCACCTTCGGGCAGAACTGGGTAACGTGGTTGGAGAACTGGGATGTGACCCCGGAGCAGGGACCATCCTGTGGCTCTGAGCCCAACAGGTTCCTGACACAGAAGGTCTTTGCAAAGTTCTGTGTGATACAGCTACATATCCTTGCTTTGAATTTTGATCTTATAAAGCTGTCAATATTATTCACTTCTTGTGTAGTGACAGGCAATCACCTCAAACCTGACAAATATTGAGTAATCTACTCAACCTTTTGCCATTCAGAGGGAAGCTGACAAATCTTTCTTCTTGGCTATCTTGTTTGTAACAACTTTTTTGACCAAAGAACAGCACTTTTTCTTCAGACAGCAGAAATCTCCATCCCAAACTTCCTGACCATTCAGTGAGCAAGTCATCTCTGTGCAGGAACCCACACAGTTTAAAAGCAGCATAATTCCCATTTATTCCTTCAAACAATTATTTTAAATTCCTCTTGCAGTGAGAGAACAGCCTTAAAATAGGCTCCATACTTGAACATTAGTCCCAGAAAAGCAGATTCCAGTGAATTGTGAGGCATTTCTGTCACCTGGTGCCAAACCCAGCCACTCTGATGTTAAGGTAAAAACATCCTGATTCTGCCCAGCAGGATAAGGAAAACATATTTTGTGTTGCTTACACTCTCATTGGTTCCTTGCCAAAAAGACAGTGTTTTTAAAACTTTTAAATTATTCACTTTTCTAACTTAAGCATTGCAATGTTTGTAACCTTTCCATCCAGTTTCTGGGGATGCTCTGGTGGTCCATGGCAGAGGCTGGACCCTGGCAGTCACCTCTTATTTAAATTATGGGAGAATCCAAAGAAAAGAGATGTTAATGAGGAGGGAACAATCTCTCCAGACACATTGTTCATAGCACATATTGATTTCTAGCATGTCATGGCAAACAAAAGTTTAACAACTATAATTTTATGAAAACGACAATTGAACAGCACATCTGGTGAGAATTCATTTATGCTTTTTACATTTTTAACAACCTGGCTATTTTTACTCTCCTCATCCTCTCAAAGGGAGTGCAATGTAATGAAGCATGGAGCTGGAACTAGGCCACACCTCAGCTGGAAAATGTCAAATTCTATTATGCCATCTTCAAAAGCATAAATCATAGCTGCACATTTTTAAAGGTATAAATGAGGGAGGGAACACCATAAAACATTTATTTGAACTCATGCAATGTATTTATAGTACAGAATGGTAGAGTATGGGATTTATGTAATGTAAAAATATACCAAACATTTAAAAGTTGACATCTATGATACACAGTATCTTCTCTCTGATGAGAAATCCCTTTGCGCACTGACCTTTCTTGAATTTAATTTTTCTGGACGTCAGCTAACAAACTAACCTGCTCAATGTTAGTTCTTTTGTCACTTAAAATCCTTGTTTTATATAGGACAATAATTTTAATTGTCTTAAGTTTAAAGAAATGCTTGATTTATATAATACCCAGGAATCTACATTTCATTTTTTTTAAATATTAAATTGTACCTTTCATGCATTATTTCCCACGTTTCATTGCTTAAATTATGTATGGGGAGGAGACTCTGTCTCTTTGGCAGGAGCAGTACCATAGTTCATAACTCTTCAAATAAATAAATAGTATTTACTGAGCATTTAGGAGGAGGAAGGAAGATTGTTATACTCTCTTGCCTTCTCTCACTCTTACTGTTTTCTTGAATACTCCATTTATTCCCAGAGATTTTAACTGCCTCACTACAGCCACTTTTCTGTGGTTTGGGAGACACTAAACTGTCAGAGGAGCAGAGATGACCATCTACTGCTTTGACCAACACTGCTGCCATGGTGGACAAACCTTTGACTCAGACATTTAAACACAGATTAAATGGAGGACAGATTAAAGGGGAGGACAGGTTGAGGATACTCCTGAGCCTGTTTTGCTGAGGATTTGCATTCCAGAATCTCACACCTGGCTGCTGAACACACAGGTCCCTGTGTCACATTGCTGGAAGCCATCCAAGCAGTGACAGGGGTTTCTGTTCCACATTGATTCATTCATCTGGAATTCCTAATCCTGGATCTGAAGGTGAAGGCAGTGCAGGCTGTTTGCTCAGAACTGTCTCAGGTCACCCTTGGATGGGATGGGGCAGGAGGGAAAAGTGAATTTTCTCTACTCAGTGATACACACATCAACCTGTATAAATACATAAACTACCTGATCTTTTCATTTTCTTCACTGAGTAGACCATATAGTTTTTTACTGCTTTTAGGAGAAAGCTCTTGATCCTAACAATGCTGATGCCATTTAACTTTATTTTGTATCATTTGTTACCAGCTTATATTTCCACACTGTTCTTGTGCAGTAGATATTTCAGTATTGAACATTTGAAATCTTATCTACCATTCTGTTCTGACTGATTTAATCTCCTTGGCTTTAAATTGTCTGTCTGAAATCACTGCAGAATGGATCAAGAGGGGAACACTCAGCTCATCTTAGAAGGAGGTTAAGATGCTATTCTTGAGTTATTCTTAAGAGTTCTTAACCTGTTCTTAAAATTTTAAGGAGCTTTTCTTAGACTGAAGTATTGCAAGGAGTAAGTTGAAGATTTAAAGGTGATAAAATAGTTTAAGAATATTATGGATTGTCTTGCACCGCCTCAGTAGTGATTTCTTGCCCTTCCTGACCACTTCAGTCTGGGCAACACAGCCCTGTGCCACAGCCACTCTGGAAAGCAGGTGATGAACCAGACTAGCTTTAAAAAAATGATGAAGAATTTGAAGGAAAAAAAAAAAAAAGTAAAAAATAAAAGTCAGGGCATGAGCAGCTGGAAGGGAAGGCTGTTCCCTGGCAGCAGGGACTGAGCAAAGGGCAGACAACACCCAGTGCAGTCAGTAAAGGGTTAATGTTCAGCGGCTCTGCTCAGCCCTGGACAGACACATTCTCACTAATTTCCAGCCTTCCTCTCTAACACTTAGCTTAGAACTCAGCAGAAACCGTTTGGGTTGTGTTGTTGTTGTTGTTGTTTTGGGGGTTTTTTGTTGGGTTTTTTTTTTTTTTTTTGAGTAGACATTTGGCAACTTGTGAAGTGTCAGATGAGCACTGGTGAATTTGAGAACTGGGGTGAACGTTTGTGTCAGGGAAGGAAAAAATCTTCACAGCAGAATGCACCCTCTAACCTGAGAGTGGAGGCACCTGAAAGACAGTAACTTTATTCTGTTCCAATTACATTAAAAGCCAAATCCTGCACTGCTGACGCTTTACAGACTTTACAACTATTGAAATCTGGTTTAAGGGACTGGCTGCACACTGGAGACTTAGTCAGTATAAACTGAAGGTGGTGAGGGTTTAAACTGGGGCCTAAATATAATTTACCATGAGACATTATGGCTGAAAATTCCTATTTAAGTGCCAGCAAGGCAGTGAGAGCAGTCTGTAGGATCCAGGAAAGCAGGATTCCTGCTGGGGTGTCCTGTCCAGCATCAAGGCTGTGGAAGTCAAGGCAGTGAGGGCTCTCCTGCCTTGGTTCCTGGGGTGCAGTCCCAAAAAATGCCCAGGTCCAACTGTTCAGCCTCCCTGATTTTTTCTAACCCCCCTGGTCCCTTCTCTATGGATTCTCATCTACATGATAAAACACTTCATAAATCTAAAACATAATTTACTGGACTATTGTTAGGGAATTTTAGATTTATCATCACTCCTACTAATTCCATTTAATCTATTAATTTACCTTCTATTAATTTATCACAGCTTTCTGGGTTGGCTGGGTTTTTTCCCTGCTCATCTGCGAGGTGTTGGATGCTGACAGTGACGGAAACCTCACAGGAAGCATTGACAAGGTCTGAAAAATAATTCTGGAGCCCTTGTGTTGCTAAGGAAGTTTCATCAGTAGAACCAACGATTTGAGATTGTTTTCTCAGCAGAGCATGAGATAAATGAGAACTATTTCCAGATTCAGTAATTTTGAAATCTGAAGGAACGATCTTATCAGTTTGCTGGCCACCCTGAACGGAATGCATCAAAAAAGATTAATAGGGAACAGGGATACCTGTTTTCTTTCAAAGCAAAAAAAGCCCTGCAAAAATATTTTATGGAGCAGTTTTTACCTACTTCACTTTGCATTAAATATAAAATCTATATGTTCTGTATAACTAGCTTTTCATTCTCCACTGCTGGGATAAGAAAATTGGTAAACTAAAAGAAAAACAGGTGAAATTCATTACATTAGAAAAGAAGATTCTCTATGAGGTCTGAGCTGCTGGAATATTTAATGTGGCATCCTCCAAAATTTTCCCAGTGGGTAAAGGAATCTCTCAGGAAAACTTTGTTTACACAGTTTAACCTAAGATGCATCTGTATGGAGAAAAGAAGGATTTTTTTTTTTTCCGTCAGCTACAAAATTTGACTGTTTTGAAATCCCCCATCCTCAGGTGTATGACAAAAAATGTTAAGACTAATAAAGATAAATAACGTGACTGCAAAAACCCATGTCCAAATACAAACAAAAGAGCAACTTCTGTTTGTTGAATCTCTTCCCTATGTAGCAAGCCCTGGCTATTTTAATAAATATGAAATATTCCAATTCCATAGGATCAGGCCTGGGCCCAAGAGTGGCAGGTGATCTGTTCCTGGGGCTCCAGCATTCCTGAGCCATCCGAGGGGAATACATGACACAAATCTGTGCAGCTCAATTTAATGTGCCTGGTTAAACGAGCACAAACATTCCTGTGCAGCGCATTTGCAGCACGCAGACATTTGTGTCACAGTATCCCTGCTCAGGATATATTTGGAAGATAATTGGAGGGGATGAAACCTTTTAAAGGGATCATTAGAATGTGTAGAATACTTCTGAAACAAAGAAACAAAAATCTGCTTTTTTTAAAGTTAGTTTAACTGAGCTACTTCCAGACAAAAGCATATTCTGGTAATGATAGTTGTTGAGTGATGAAAACTGTATTTCACTTAAGAATCTATTCTTTTTATTAGAATTGTAATCCTTAATTTTTACTTCAATACTAGGAGTCATAATCCTATTTTAACAGCAATTAATCTGGTGTTCATTTACCACTGAGCAATTTTCAAAGTGCATTTGACTGAGCTACAAATAAAACCTCTCCAAGTTCAAAATGTTTTGATTTTACCACGTGCACCTGATTTGGGAGATTTCTGGTGGCTTCTCTTGCCAATAAAAATTGATAACTTCTATTTTTGGGTTCTAAGTTTCTAATTCTCAGACGGTGCCATGAATCTGAATATATTTCCAAAGTCTGAGCTTCCAGGCCCTCCAGCCTCTGCCCAGCTGGTGTCAGTCAGCAGAACCTCCCTGCTCAGCTGCCCTTGTGCAAGAGCTCTCTTATGCTTTTAGGCAATTCCCTTTTCTGATGTTTTGATTTTCCTTTGCCTTTTCTCACCTCTCTGGAGCAGTTTCAGCCCATCAGTCCATGAAGGCCTGAGTTATTTTGGGGGACAGCTCATTTGTAACTGACTTTTTTTTTTTTGCTTTTCTCCCGGGGCAATACGATGTAGGTTGGAAGTGTTGGTTTGCTTTTATATAGAGGAGTTAATCTGATCAAAGTGCTCCAAATGTGCTCTATGCAAACAAATTCCTATAAATCTCAAAGCTGGATTTAATCTTTGTCCTCCTTCAGCTTTTTTTTTTTTTACTCCTGTAGTGATTTTTCTCACGTGCATTTGTCATGAGCTACCTAATTCTGTTCTTAAACAGAATTCTTTTATTCCACAGAAATTAACTTGGCATATGAGTTCTCACCCAAAAACTGGTCCACAGCAGCCTGAATAGGAAGATTCTGATAATTAAGATGTCAGTGGAGAGCTGTTTCCTCTCTTTGATTGCAAAAGAAATGTCCAACTCTTGGCCAACACGTCCTGGTGGCTCCTTCCCACGCAGGAGCTGTGTGTGAGTGAGTGTGTGCACGTGTGTGTGTCTGTGTATTTTGGAATCAGTCACGTTCCTCAGGCCCTCAGAGCACATCCTGTTATGAGGAAACAGCAATTCAATTGTGTCTTGGTGCAACAATACACAATTTTGGAAAAGTTTCAATGATAGTCACCAATGGATTATCAGGCAATGCTTCCCTGAAGGCATCACAGCCCAGCCAGGGGATTTGGAGGTTTTGATAAAAATGGAGAACTCTGTCTATTTTGTTAAACTCTCACAAGAATTTTACTTTTCATCAGCAATGACAGAATCCCAGAATGGTTTGGGTTAGAAGGAACTAAAGGCCCATCCAGTGCCATGGCAGGGACACTTCCACTGTCCCAGGCTGCTCCAAGCCCTGTCCAGCCTGGCCTTGGGCACTGCCAGGGATCCAGGGGCAGCCACAGCTTCTTTGGGCACCTGTGCCAGGGCTCACCAATAATAAGCTCAACTTTAGGTGAGGTTTAACTGCTCTGTCTAAGGCTGTGGCACCCTTTTCTTTTCTGAGTCTGCAGCTTCTGTTCTTAGGGTGCATCTTTTTCTAACCATCCTCTTTTATTTCTCTTCCCAATCCTCTACCCAATCTTTTCATTAGCTTTTTTTGGGGGGGTTGGGTGGGAGTGGCATGTCACCAGGTTCCCTTTTTTTGTCAGGTATTGTTATATAAAGAAAAATTAATGTAAGGTAAAAAAGTAGATGCCTTTAAAAAGATACCAATAAATCATTCAAAGTCTGTCAGTTTTCTGCACAGGCTGCTAGGAGAAGAGATTTAATGGATCTACATACAACAGAGATTTTCTATATTGCTTAAGTTTTCTTATCTGGCAGAGCTTTGCATCATTTGGAACCAGCCCCAGTCGTGGGAAGACTCCACTGATTTCTCTCAAGGAGTGCTTTGGTTGTGGGGGAGTCCATGTATAACTTCTCTATAAGTGTTTCTGGATGTATATTTTGAGGCACAAAGCATAAAAATACAGCACAGAATGTGACAATGCAGAATATAGAAAGAAGCTGTTGATTACCATTTGTATTTTTAGACTCCTCGTTTCAGGAGGATGCCAAAAGCAAACTGCAGCAGTCAGATCCAACTGCATTATTCCTCATGGCAGCATAAAATAGTGAGACAATTTCAGAAACTAGATTAAGAATCATAGTTTTTCTTGCTGCATAAAATTGCTGAAAATCTACAGAAATCTGTATTGTGGATCACAAGTTAATGTAAAACCTCCAAGCTATTTTTTTTTCCACTTTGTCTGTTTAAGCTACTGGGCAAGTTGTTACATGAATAAATTTATTTTCTTCCTCTGAAACTGTATAATATTAAATGCTGTGTTGTTGGCATAAAATATAAGTTGATCAGACAGACAAAGATTATTATTCTGACAACTGTATACACAAGGGTATCATTGTACATTGAATTTCAGTGTGTAATATGGTATAAATCTTCATGAGAGACTCAACTTTTATTGGCTGCACAGAAGGTGCTTTTCCTTATTAAATACAGGAGATGGTCCCAGGGGGATTTTTATAAAAATATCTTTATCCATTTTTTTTTTCCCAGCCAGTCTCTGTGCCCTGGCAGGCTCCTGGATTCAGCGGGGTGAGGAATTCTCCCTGGAATGCCTGGATGGAGACACAGCCGTGCTTGGAATGTTTTACCTCAGCAGAACCCACACAAGCCTCACCTTTCCCTTTCCCCAAACTCTGTCTGGAGCCTGCAGGACACAAAAATTCACCTTAATTCAGTGAAATGTTGCCAGTGAAACCCTAAAATCACTCTGGATCTGCACTCTGGTTCATTCCTGTTGCCATCCTCTCTTTCCTCCTGCTGAGGATTTTGGGGGCACGGGGACACCCACAGGCTCCCTTCACTTCTGCACAAATGAAGGGCAAAGAGTGAGAGAATTGTGGAATTCAAACTGCATCCATCATTTTCCTGGCCAGTGCAGGGCTATCAGCTTTTATTGGCCATGAGTAATTAGGAGATTTCATCAACCACCCACCCAGAGGGTTCCCCCACCCCAGAATCAGCAGGAGAGTGTGGAATTTTATGGTTTCTCTCTTCCTCCGGGGCTCTTAGTGAGTTCATGGCACAGCTCAGCTGGGAGGGCTCTGGGCACAGGGGTGTGACTGCATTTGGAGCAGATGAAATGCCAGCTCTCCACAGATTCATATATTGCATTCAACAAGTCACTTCAATCTCTATCTGACATCCCTTTCCCCATCTGTAAATGAGAATCAGGTGGATCCTTCCTGTGAGGCTCTCTGTGTCTCCACACCACCCCTTTTAGGGATTTTTACATGGCTCTATCCCACAGAATGGGTGAGGTTTGGGGGATGGAGGCAGGGCTCAGATCTGGGCTGTGCACCCTTTCTTCAGATCACACAAAATTAGGGCTCAAACTTCCAAAATTTCGCTTCTTTGCTATGAAAAGTTGTCAATTGTGACAAATGAAAACTTGGCATTATTAATTTTTTTTTTTACAATTTATAGCATCAAAGTCTTCCCAGCAGTCCAAAATTATTTCATCCTGGTACTTTCTATTATGACTTCATAGTTTGATGCACTTAGAATACACCAGCACTTTTCATACCAGTACCAACTACACAGTTAATATGCGTCACCTTTATAGCATAAGGAAGGACTATGAAATGTTGTCTTTCTGCTACTGATTTGTGTATTATTATGTTGAGAGAAAGTAACAGCTGTAAGGACAAAATAACACTTATTTCACCACCCACGGGAACATGAAATTGCATATATTGTTTTTAAAATTAGCTATCACATGTAAGGTTCAATTGTATATAGCTAAATAATAAAAGTAAGTGCATTTTTAGGTGCTCTTCAAATGAGGTCACAGTGCTGATGAAGTTCTCAGTATTTCTCTGATTTTATGAGATTCCAGGGGCAGTGATGAGATGTGTGGCACACAGGTACAAGTGGCCAATTTAAAAATGCCCTAAATATAACTTGAAGGGCTAATCACATTTACAGTCCACAAAATGTGCATGGATGCATATTGATGTGAGAAAACCACATGCACTGAGGAAATAATAAACTATTCAAGTGAATATGTATTATTCACTGCTAATTTTAATTAAGACTCAGTCTTAATTCTCATGTACAGAAAAGATATATTTTGGTGCATAATTTCTACAGCCTCATTTTGTACTCTTTTCTTCTGTTAGAAGTGGGTAAATGTTTTTTTAAATTTTCAGGAGTGGTCTCTGGGTCTCCATCCTCTGCCTGGATGTTTGCAAACCCACAGGGAGGGCTCAGGGCAGGCATTTCCAGCAAACTCTGCTCCCCACGGGAAGGACAGCACGAGCCAGGAGGAATAAAGGGGAACAATTCTTTCTCAAACACTGATCCAAATGGAACACTTCAAAATGTCCATCCAGGAGGAGAAATGATCACTGGGGCTGCTCTCCTCCAGGGCATCTGGAACTCGGAGCAAAGCTCCTGAGTTATTATCTGGGTAGTTTAGCATTTATCTTCTGAAGTCACTGCCAAAGGCATACAGGCAGAATAAAGAATAACACCATATTGATAAATATGCATAATTTCCCCCTGCCTTCCACAAGAATTATATAAAATGGAAAGGCATAATTGGACTCATAGTAAATATAATAGATCAGAATTTATTTCATGGTGGGTTTATCTTTTTTTTTTTTTTTTTTTCCCAGATTGAATCTTTTTAACATCAGATTTCAACCTGCTGTGAGTGACTTTTGGGTCTGATTTACAAATCCTTCAGATGGAGAATGTCATATGGAAACAAAGTAAATGCTTCCTTGGCTGGGTTTTTTTGGTTATGAGAATTTATCTGATTGGGGGTAGGAGGAAACAGAAGAGAAACTGAGCTGTGCTTGCTAAGGAATGAGTTTGTCACCTCTAGAACCTGGGATCCCCACTGGCCACCTGGTGGGATGGGGAGTCCCCAGAGGTCTCCTGTCTCTCCCATCCCTCTCCTGTCCCCTGTCCCACCACAATGGTTTTGGCTTTTGGCTCATTCTTATGGCAGATCTCCAGCCTGAGTGTGGGACTGAGAAAGGAAAGGATGGCAGACAAAAATCAGACAAAACCAGGGCTCAAACTTCCAAAATTTCTCTTCTTTGCTGTGAAAAGTTGCCAATTGTGACTTATGAAAACTTGGCATTATTAATTTTTTTTTACAATTTCTAGCAGTCACTGAGTGCAGCAATCCCATCTCCAAGCTGCATTTCAAAAGGCAAAGGAATTCACAACAAAGTGTTACTTCCAGTTTATAATTTCACGATCCCGTTTCTCTCTCAGGGGCAGAAGATCTGAGATGCAAATTGGATCTGCATTATTGTTTCTGTCTCTGGGGGAGCATCTTTATGGAACACTCAGCTCTGACAGAGGCATGGTGAGAGCTGGCAGGTCTCTGCCTGCCTCCCAGCCCACACCTCATCATGGTGATGTGCCTTCATTTTACCCTTTTGTTCATAAAGAACATTAAAACCAGAACTGAGAATGCCTTAAAATCTTTTCGATGTGATAAGCTACAGCCAAACAAGAGAAATAACTAAATATTTTTGCTAATTAGCAGATGGTTTGCAAAATATCTTACCTATTTTTACTTTATTTTATTTTATTATTTTCCAAAAGCAAGTAAGAAATGGCCATAAGAACTACTGGCTACTGTTCAGGAAGACTTAATGGAATGACCTGTGGTGGTTGCACCGAAATAAAACATAAAAACAGAGATAGCAGAAGGTAGGAATGGCCAGACTGTGCTGAACAAACAGGTGTCAAGCCCAGGCCCTCCACAAGAATATTCCAAGGCACATTCAAGTGCCATCAAGGCCAAGTAACTCTGTGCCTACCACTCCATAAGGACATCTATGAGGATGTCACAAGCCAAAGGTTGTACCTGTGTGTTTAATCACCCTAGACAGCTTCATCTTGATTAATTTAGCTGCTCCTTATGCAGTTTATGCTGTACAGCCTCAAAAGCTTAGAATTAAAAGTACATTTTTCTAATGTTAAATGATACTTGATTTGCAGCCCTTAATTTGTCCCTGTAGATTAACATAATGTTTCATTACATCACTGTAGAGTTACAAATATCTTATGACAATTTCAATTGTCTATTTGTTTATTATCTGGCAATAAACCTTCCAAAAACCTTATTCCCATGGTTTTGCCTTCACTTCCATTTCACACATGGTCACTGACATGATTGCAGAAGTCTTTGAGTGGAAGGTGGGAACAAATTACTTCCTGAGACCTCATCACCCTGAATTATTCCATCAGTCAGTACAATCTAGAGTCAACAATTTCCTTCAGTGCCAAGCAGAATTACAAACACCTAAACCTGTTTTTAACAGGCATGAAGAAGCAGATCCCACCACAGATTTTCTGCACAGAAAAAAAGTTGTGAATTTTCATCTGAGCATCCCTCTCTGTGGAAGCAGCTCTCTAGCACAGCAAGCAGGACACTGAGCATCCTGTGCTCCATTTCATCCCACAGCAGCAGCAGGCTGGTGGCCAGGCAGTGGTTGTGGTTTGATGGCACTGGGAAAACCTGGAATGAGTGTCTGGTATCCTTTCCCCACTCCTCCTCTCCACAAAAAAGAACATCAGGCTGGTTGTTTTTCTTTCCTACCTGGTGGAAACTTGCTGACGTGATTTGGGAAATGAGTAGGTGGTACAGGAGAGTTACAGTTTAATGCAAGAGTCTGAACATCTGCAGACAAAATAAAAAATTTTATTTGCCTCCCTCTGGCCTTGTATAGTTCCAATAGACAACTGGGCCAGGGTTTTAATATTGCCAAATGTATGATCAAAAAATCACAGGACAGGTGGGTGTTGGAATCTGAGGTATTGATGATCCTGAGATTGTAGAAAGTCTCTGTCTTTCTGCCCCGTTGCCAAAGCAGAAGCCATAATTCGTCTGTGCTGGTTTCAAGGTTGTTTATTCTGTTTATCTCTGACATGTTCTGCTGCCCTGCCGCAGCTCTGTCCTGCAGGGCAGCGTGTGGGGCTCTGCCCTCAGTGGGATGGTACAAACATTAAATACCACAAACTACCTGTGCTGGATTTACAATAACGTGCCAATATCTGTCACCTACGTTGGACAGTGTGTCCCCAGCCTGAACCAACAGAAAAATGCCAACACCACAGTGAAACATGGAGGGCATGAAGAAGGAGGAAAAGGACAAAACACACCCAATTTCCTCCATCTTGTCCCCTTTGAACCCCTCATCTAGAATCCTAAAATTTTACTTTTGCACACGTGCCACACTTAATTATTACTTATATCAAACACTCAGAGCTGGTAATTCATCCTGTAAGATTGAAAACTCTTTTCCATGGACAGAGATCACAGACAGTGTCTCTGGGGGCTCTGTCCAGGGGGGTTCCTGACCCCTGCCAGGGTCCCAGACCTGCCAGGGCAGCCAGAGGGAAGCCCTGGACTCCCACAGAGCTGGGAGCAGAGGCCTGGAGAAGGTGGGGGAGGAAGAGAGGAAGGATGGATGTTCTGGGAGGTGTGCCAGGGGTGGGGAAGGAGGTGGCTCTGAGGATGCTGTGGACAGCTCAAACCAGCAGCAGCTGGCCAGGAACACCCTGATATTCCTGGAGCCACTCTGGGGACAAAAGCAGGGGATGTGGCTGTTCAGCCTGAGGATGAAGGCTGAGCTGGGGCACAGAGGGTGCAGGGCACACTTGGGTTTGCTGCCCTGGCACAGGGAATTCTCCCAGAGCAGTGCAGGAGCTCTGGGGACCTGCACTGTTATGGAGATAACTGCATGGAAAATGTCAGGGCAGGTCAAATGTCTGGGTTTGGGGAGAAAAACCCTGACCCCTCCTCTGCCCTCAAAAGGAAGAAAAACAGACTTAAAAGCAAAAGATCTTATACGGTGCTTCCAAATATCCAGCAGCAGTTTATCACTGGATTAAAATCTACAAGAAATAAGTATCCAATGGTGCAAACTTCAGGCTCATTGCCGTATTCAAGAGGGAAAATAATGTTTTACAAAATACTCTTCAAACTTCCAAAATTAGCATCACCAAAGAAAAAGTACCAGTGTATTTGTATATTCAGGAAAATGACTCCTGAAGGAAGTCTTCCCAAAATTACTTCTGGCTCTGTGTAATTCAGGGAGATAGATGCATATGCCCATGAATTGTTTAACTGGAGAAATGTCTTTTATTCCTATATAGCAGATGCACAATGGGAATGGTTTATAACTTAGTCTTTTAAATAATAAATAAATGCTGACATTCTCAGCTGAGACATCCTGATTTTTGTGTACTGTGTAATACTGAAGTGTACAAATATTTTTTTAGAATTATTTTTCCCTTTCTAAAAAGAACATGAAACCTCAAGAATATGATAAAACATCACAGTTGGTTTCTAAATGCTTTGCATCTTAATATGGTTGAAGTTAAGGCAGTAAGTAATTTCTGAGTTTTTCCCTTGAGCCGCGTAGTTCTTTTCATATGTAATTATTCTCTGAGTGCATTAGATAATGCTATGGTTCCCACAGCTGTATACACATCTATAAATCATTAATGAGGCAGTTAACTGAAACAAAACTATAAAAGATTTGCATTACCCGGCAGAACCCAGCCTTAATTGACTCCCAGTTATTTACAATTAATTTTTCCATTTGGAATAATGATTGCAAGCAACTTAGGGTTTTTTATTACTGAGGAATTAGATGCTGACTATTCGTCAAAAGTTTTTACAGAGAGGCTGTGTCAGTGGACAGCAATGAGCTGGAGGCAATGTGATTTTTACATGCACATACTCTCCCTCACCCTGGCTGAGGGGATGGGGTGGGAGGGGGCACGTGCAATAAAATACAGACAGGAGCCAGCACAAACTTTTTTTTGTCCTTTTTATCACATACATAAGTTTCGCAACAATTAATTTCTTCTCTTTACAGCATCCAGCTGAAAGGCAATAGGATGAATAGAGCTGGCTGCAGTTCTATACAGAATAAACTGCATGAATGAAGAGTGAGTAAATATTTATTTCCATCTTACAAGACTGTAAGATAGACACTGGGGAATAAACAATGCAGAGGCTGTCGAATAAATATTATTCCATTATGCTATTTAAAAATTACTTTTATAGAGACATGGAGCACTGAGTAAATGCTCATTGAGCTGTCATTGTTTGAGTAAGGCCTGGGAGTGGGGCTGTGTGTCAGAGCCTGGACAGACACACGGAAGAGATCAGCTCTCTGTGCCATGTGAGCATAACTCTGGCTGACACTAATGGGCTGGGGATGTGTTCATCAGGAAGGGATGTCACCTTCAAATTCCTAATAAAACTGAAGGCAGAAACCACCAGGCCCATTTGCAGCAGCTGATGTTATCTTCCTTACCCCTCAGCCTTCCCTTTCCAGAGCTTGAGCACATGGCAGTGGAGATTCCTGTCTGGGAGCCACAGTGGGAAATGTGCAGGGGTGCACTACACTGCATCCTTGGAAATCAATCCTCTGAGACTGAGCAATGATCCTTCAGTGATTTCCCCTTGCTTCCCTTTGGGTACAAAACACATACAATAAACATTTGGGTTGTTGTCTGTTCTCCCCCCTCAGCTGCAGCTGCCATGCTGAGCAAGTTGAATGTCCTGCTTTATTTTCTTGTTTAAAATAAATAATTTTGCTGTCCTTTGGCTAACATTTGAGACCCTCCACTCGTGCCAGCTGGCTGGGCTGCCCTGAGCCGGGCACTGCAGGTGAAAGCAGCCCTGTGAACACAGGGAGGGCATGGGGAGCTTGATTTCTGTGCATGTGCTTTAGACCAAGAGACAGCCACTGGTGAATGTGAGGCTTTAATCCCGAGTGATGGCAAAGCAAGAGGCTGCTCTCTGCCTTATCAATAGGTGCCAGCAAGAGGCCACTGGAATTGATCTAGGAAATGACAAGCCAACGCTGGTAACCTTGAAAACCCTGCAATCTCCCGCTGGAGTCATTTTTCCCAGGTTCTGTTCTGCTGGGCTGTGCTGCAAAGTGTAATGGAAAGGAAGGTGACAGCCTGGCCATGGGTCATTCAGCCTGTCAGTAATTCCAGCCTTGGCAAACCGGCCCTGCCTCCTCACCAGCCCATGAACTTCACAGACGCTTCACTTACTCATGCTACACTGGTTACTGCATCAGCTCAGCTGGAAAAGCACTTCCATGTGTGAAGTCTGAGAGGCTTTTCCTTTGGAAATCAGGCTGGTACCGGATAAGCAAACAATGTTATTATTTTCATTAAGATATCACATCCTGTCAACACACACCATTGGCAGTTGCATTTCAAATAGCTGTGCCTTCACAAATTGTACAGTACAATTTAGACAGTGTTTTTGCTGTGTCCATGATCCTTCTTACTGGGCTTGTTGTCCTGGAGTGGGAAAAGCTCTATTTGTAAACTCAGAACTGCAGTGACTCTTTATGCACAGAGGTGATATTGCTGACAAGATTTTTCTCCAATGGGTCCAAAGTATCAAACTGATCAACCCCCTGTCCTGAATAGTCTGATACTGCAAAAAAGAAATACTCTGGCTTGGTAGTTTGCTTTGAAGAAGCCAAAACCAATTTAAGTGAAAAAAAACTTTCATTTAGTGAAAATTTCTAACAGAAATTTCAAAAAAACCTGATAACTATGAAAAGCATGCAATTTACTTACCATTTTTTACAAATCAGGAGTCTCAGTCCTGCAGGGTTTCTCAACCCAGTGGCAGAGTTCTCACTTCCCTGTGTCTCCTTCCAGCTGAGTTTGGTTTGGTGTAAGTGTCAGTACCTGTGAATCCAGGCTGTGGATTAAACACAATTGCTTTTCTCTTTTCCCTTTATGTTTTTTTCTTTTTTCCCCCAGGGTAGTATGAGCAGAATATAACATACTAGAAGAAATAAAGAATTACAGTCAGGATGCAAGGAATTATATATATATATATTTTTTTTTACATTTGGAATGGAATTTCAATATTCATCTATAAGGAAAAAGCCATGAAAAGAATCAGAGTTTTTTTCCACGGCTTTGCACATTGTAAAGTCATTTCAACGTTGTAATATAGGTGTCAAACGTTACTAAATCAGCTGTCAAATGCTACCAAACACTTACTTTGCACAGGTGGAAATGATCACATAAAATGCAAAGCACTGATCTGACACCAAAAATCTCTGTGTACCATTTCTGTTTTCAGCAGCTTTACAGAACTATCAAGGAAAAGTCCAATATGGAATTTATTCCTTGTTATTTAAGCATTTTTGTTTTCTTACTTTCAGGGATGTGGTTCCCCCTCTGTTCCAGCTGACACCAAGGAGGAGAATGCAACAATTTGCACGGAATAGCTTTGGACTGATCTGCAAAGGACAATATTATATTTCATAATAATGTTCCAAATGTTAAAGGATTTTTCCTGCCAAAACCTCTCTTTGTCATCATCAGCTGATGGCACACAGCTCTGGGAATAAACACTTTCAGCTAACAGCAGGAATTGTCAGGGGAAACACGAAACAAGTATTTCTCCCTGACACAGAATGAAATATAGGATTAAAGTTAAATGCCAAATCCTACCAGCACTGGAGCAAATTAAGGTTTATTTTTCATTCCTGTTAATCCTTTCCTCTCTTCTTAGCTAATTCATCTTGTTTCACTTAGTGCCAGTGGTTTTTTGGCCAGTTTGGTGGATGGGGGGCACAATCCATTTTAGGCATCTGGCTTTGGGTAACAAGTGAAAGTTCAGGCAAAGCCCAGATCCTAAAGGAGCACCCTGCAGGCTCCTTGCTGTGTCCAGCTCTCCAAAGGCAGGGAAGTGTGACCAAAAACACCTCCCAGCCCACCCTGCAGCAAAGTCCAAAGGTGCCCTGGTCCATCCATGTGCTGCTGAGACATTCAAGTGCTTCATGCAGAGCATTTAAATCAGGCTGTGTGCAGCAAAAACTCTTTAATAACCTTAATGGCAGAGGGGTTGGGCTGCAACACTTATTGTGAGTGGACTGTGACACAAAACTTACCATAATGAAATCATTTCAGGTAACAACTCAGAAGGACTGAGCTTGTCTCCACTGTTTTACTTGGGATTTTCTTGTGAAAAGTAAGTCTGGCCCGCTGGGGGCTGAGTGAAGCACACAGTGATTAATTAGAGCTGGACAGATTTTGTATAGTTCAATATGAACATGTCACTTTTCTGGCTGCTTCATCTCCATCTTCCCTCTGACCAGCCAGAATTTATTCCAGAATGCTTGCTCTGGTACCAGGAGCAGCAGGTATGTGTGTGTGTATATATATTTTTATATCTACACAGCAAAACCCTCTTTTCCCATAGCTAACCACTCCTGGAGACAAAAAAGACAAAAAATAATAGATGTTGAAAGGGACCTACTGCTCAGTGAATACTCATTTCAGTGTCCTTTCTGAAAGGGCTGTGAAAGCATTTTCAAACATGGAAGGCTGAATGTATGTTAAAATAATTAAACTATTATAAAGCATCCAGTTTTTAAAGTATCACTTATCATAAGAACATTTTAATGTATGGTGCTGTATTTGCTTTCATAATTTTGGATTATGTCAACCGAATCATATAATGAAGATGTAGTAAAATCTTACTGCATTTGTAACTGAAACTCAGAAAAATGGCAGTTTTTATTTTAAAAAATGAGCTCCAAAGAGAATTTTCCCCCTGCCTTAGATGCCCATACCCAAATGTTCATGTTCCAGCAGAAGACCCAAACAGGTCCAGGTCCAAAGGCAAGGGTGGGTGCAGCACCCACAAAAGCAGCAGCATTTGTGCTCTGCTGACACTGAACTGCCTCATTGCAATTGATTCCTTCAATGTACAAATATAAAACAGTAGCAAATCATTATCCATCCATAATACATCATTATAAAAATACTTTTTTTACTGCCCTTCCATCTCAGCTTCAAATCACCAAAGACACCCATATTTGCAGACAGAACTAAAGTCAGATTCTTTATTAACAGTAATTTTACGTGTGCTTAAACATCTGCAGGATGTATTAGAAATGATGACAGCACATGACCTGGCTTGGAAAAGTCTCTCTGTAAATTCTTTGCCACCCCCAGCAAGGGCAGCAGGGCCAGTGGAAGCTGCAGGGGGAAGTGAAGTGCCTCCCGCAGTGCTGCTGCTGCCAAAGGCTCCAGATCCAAGCCCAGGCTGGGAATTGTCCCACGTGTATTTAGGGCTCAGTGCATGCACAGGCACAGGAGGGGTTGTGGAGATCAGCTGAGGCCATAAAGGAAGTTTGTAACAATTCAGGTTAGCCTACATTTTGTCACGTTACCAAAAATAGTCTGCAAATAAATGTATTTACAGGCCACTTCCTTGTAAGCAGCAATTCCTTCAAGCAGCACTCAGGTTTAATGCACAGCCATGTCCTCACTGTGGACTGCTATAGATCCAGGCTTCAAATGGAGATTGGGCACTATTGATCCTCCGGGGTTTATTACGGTCTGCATCCCACAGGACTCAGAACCCATTCCCTGGCCCGAGCTCGGCTGCCCGTGTCCCTCTGCCCGTGTCCCTCTGCCCGTGTCCCTCTGCCCAAACCTGCCAAAGACCACCCTGGGCCGGGGGTGGCTCCATGGGGTGGAAAAGTCTCTCCTCCAAGCAGAGCTTCCAAAGAAAGGCTCAGCAGTCTCTGTTCTCCGGTCTCAAGGCAGTTTATTGCAAGTTATCTAAAAGATTTTCTCCTGGGGCTGCTGTGGTTTGCTCACAGCTCAGGCAGAGGCACACACACACCCTGACATCCTCTCTGACTCCCGACTGCTTCTTCTCTCCCCCTCTGCCCAGGGCTGCTGCTGTCTTTTATATGGTACATTACGTGTTACATGGGTACAGTTTGTCCCCAATGCCTATTACCTATATTAAATGATGCTTTTCTATCTTTTATATGGTACATTACGTGTTACATGGGTACAGTTTTTCCCCAATGCCTATTACCTATATTAAATGGTGCTTTTCTACTCTAAACCGATCTGTGAGTGCCAACATCACCAAGAACATGGAGGTAAGGAAGGAGAAAGAGGGAGGACAGGGCAGGCCCAAATCCCTCCATCTCAAAACTTCTGACCCCATGTACAAAACCAAAACCCCCCCAGTACAGCACTCAAAAATTTTTCCCACTACTTTGTGACTACTTCTACTATAATACCTAAACCTTTGTGACTTCTTGTTCTTCCTGCAAGGTTGGTAAATCGTTCCATGGTTCAAACCCAAAATCACAGCTGTTTCCAGCTGCCTGCCAGGGTCTCAAATGCTTCTGACCTGGACCTGGAACCTACAAAAATGTCAGAGGGATATTTTTGAGTTCCCACAAACACCCTGACAAAAACCACCCTAAACCCCAGCCCTGAGAGCGCTGTCCCTCCCTGGGAGCCAGCTGGGGCTGTTCCAGTGAGGAGGAGTGTGGTGAGGAAGGCTGAGCCTTTAAAAGGCTTTAACACATTCCTCCCACACATTAGGCTGAGCTGACACCCAAACCCCTCAGCCTCTTGCCTTATCAATACTTACCAGGAGCCACCTAGTGAGGACTGAAAACAGAGTAAACTCTGAGTAAGCTCTCCAGTTTATCAGTCTCCTAAACTTCATTTGTCAGAATTTTGACATTTAAAGCCAATCTGGGATGGGTAGATCAGGAATCAACCTGTGCTCATCAGCCTAGGCTCAGTGATGCCTTAAGGAATGTGTACATCAGCCAGGAGGGGAAAATGTTCAAAAAGCCTTTATGGAGATGAAAGGAAAGTGCAAAAACGTTGGTATTTTAAAGACTGAGCTATTTAGTTACATGGAGTCTTTCTAAACTACACGATACTGGAAAACTGAGCAAAGATCTCTCTTCAAAATCTGCACTTCACAGTAGCACTGCCAGCACTGGGTCAGCCAGAAATGCTGCAGCACTGCAAGGGCTGTTTCAACTCCTTTTGAAAAATAAGATTTAGAATAAAGTTCAGACCTCACTTAAGTAAATCCCAGTGGAATTGAAACTAAAATTAATATTATACCTAAAGGTACAATTTAAGTTCTGGTGTTGCAATGTTTTATTCACGCATGAGCATTTATAAAGAATCACAATTCCTAATGCTCCTGTTTCTTTGTATCATTCAACTTTTGATGGTTTGCTCAATGGCAGCAATTAATGCAGTTATTAGAACTGCTGTTATAAAAAGAATATGGAACAAACCCAATTTATACATTGGAAGAATATTCTGATAAGTCACTTGATCATGTGTAGAACAGAGGGCAACACGTTTTCTTGAACTGACACTGGTCAAGCTAAAAGATTTATTTTAGGAACAAAAAAAAATCAGGTGATTTTATTCTGCAGAGTCTGTTTACAAGAGTCTGCTAATGAGAAAAAAATGCAATGCTAAAAATGAAAGAAATCGTGAACACTCTACATGTAGATGTAGCCAGAAGAAAACATAATCATAGGGAATCTATTCCCTGTAGATCTATTTAAAGGTCTTTTTTGTTTTTAAGTGACAGTGATTTATATTCAGGGCATGTGTGTGTAAACATGTGTACATAAACAGGAGCTGGTAAGGAAATAAGCACTGTGCCTTTGACCCAGGAATTAAAATAAAGAGGGAACAGGTGATCACTTAATTCCACCTGACTCAAACCAGCCTTCAGCCCCATGTTTTGAGAAGGGAAGTTTTCAGCTGTTTTCAGTTTTCAAAATTCAGAATCTGGAGCATACAATAATTAGGAAAATGTTTAATACTAACCCACCCTCTTTATTAAGTCATTTCTTCAAGTATTTTTAATAGTGCAAAATACTGGTTTGCATTAGTACAGTTACTATGGGAATTCACAGTCCAAAAAAAATCTTAAAAGATTTCCAAAGTCAAACAAAAAACTTTTTAATACTGTATTTTTAGCAAGAACATTTTTAACAAAGAATGTGTACTTTAACTTAATATGGTACAACAGAGAAACCATACTTAAAAGTTTCCATTATCTAACACTCTACTGCATATTCATTTTTCCATCTTAAAAGACCAAAAGCCAAGCTGAACTGAGCATTTAAAAAAAAAGCATCAATTATAATCCTCATATTACATCAGCTATTAGGGTTTAGCTCACACTTTTGAATCGGTCATCTAATGAAAGGACAATTTTTACATCGTTCTTTTAAAAAATGTACACACATTTCTTTTTAAAACGTAATATATATCGAGTATCTGCTTCAGTAAACAAAGCTTAATTTATAAACACAATCGAAACAGCTCCATGTTGAACAGTTTCAGTGATAAACTGGACTTGTATGATGTACAGCCAGTGAGGACCATTGTGGCTTAAAATCATTGTGCCATTGCTATTCAGTAATAGCCACCTCCTAAGGAAAAAAAAAGTTCTTTTTTGGGGCAGGGTGGGGAGGGGAAATAATTGATGTATGTGCTTAAAAATACTAAAACTCCTTTCTATCTCCAGGGACCTAAAAATGATCTGTTGTGACAGGCTTGGTTTGGTATGGTAAGCTTGTAAAAAGTCTCAGTATTTCTTAATACGGCAGTTTTCAATGCAGCAACAGTAAATTGCTTGAAATTGTCCTTCAAGTTTCATGCTACAAATCCTGTTCCTCACACAGTACTGAAGGCATCAAAGGTTGGAAGGGACATTTCTCAGGAACTATATAGTCTTCAAATAGTGGTCATTAGACGTTTTTTCAGCAATAGGTGGTTCCTTCAGTACATAATGGTCGGCTTGATGTATGTTCTGTTTTCTGGAGGGAAACAAAAAAGAAGAAAAAAAGTCAATTATACAGTTGACCATTTGATAATTAACTGACACTTAGGTGGTTTCTTCACTTGGTTGTAGATTTTTGTTTTTTTAAGGCAAATGAGCAGATCTAACAGTGATATAAATGAAACTGCCCATCGTATGTGCAAGTTTTGTGCAGGGAAAGGGTGACAACACCTGGCCATGCCCTCAAGAAAGGACAAAGACGCACCACGACCTGCCCTGGTGTTTGCCAGCAATGGCTCAGGACAGGCTGCAAACACTCTGATTTGGATTTTATTCCTTTAAGGTATTTTTTTTAATCAAACAGTCCTTTTCTCCCAAAGGCAGCACGTGTTGGATTGCTGCCTCCCTGGGACAGAGCAGGGACAAGGCACCAGCTTTAGCCCACACCCTTGTCATTGCACAAAACCTGCCAGGGAACAGGATGTTAAAACTGCACTGCTTTCAGAAAATGTAAATCAGGATCTGTTCTTGGAAAACTGTTCTTTCATTCAGAAACCACCACATTTCTCTTAAAATTCTATTTCTTTATTTAGACAACGAAGCAGAAAAGCACTTCATAAAAATATTCCTAGTTATAGTACCTATCAACTGTGATTTTTCACATTAAGCAACTTTAAGCCCAGAGAAAAAATAAATATTGAAATGCCCACAGAAACTGAAGCTAACAAGAATCTATATTCCTGCTCATTATACAATGAATCATGAATCCACCCAGCTAAATCTGCAAGAACTGATCTGGAAGATGATAGCAAAATGATAATATGGAGCAGCATTTTGTATAATGTTGACATCTCTCCCATGACTGTTTTACATACGCCAATACCGAGCACTCCTAAGGAACGAACAAGTATTGAC